TGTGAGTAACTATTAAGCCTACTCTGGACCTAACACTTTAAATATCAATGCTCTTCTTCTATGAAAAGGAACTTTTGAAGGCCAACCTAAGAAGTAAAGTTGGTGATGCATTATTACTTTGATTTTAATGCTTTCGAATAGCTTGAATTAAGTATAACAGAACCACCAGAAGAGTCAGTGGTAGTCACAGAATCAAGATCAATTGCTATTGAAAATGGTATATCCCAATGATTTTCAGCTGTAACAACCAAAACACCAGGATAAAATGACTCCACTATTAGATCATGGTGTGAAACTACAACCACACCAATAAAATTCTGTTAGTAAAAATTAAATAAATTCAATTCATGTTTAAAAAAAGTTAGCACAGAACAAAAAAAAGGTAGATATTATATGTGATTCAGATTAACATCCATGTCCTTGTGGGTATGTTAGGAACCCAGAAATTAGAACAAATATGATACCAAGATGAATGAGAGGGTAATGGTATAATAGAGGAATCGCTCCCTCAACCAGAGCAAAAGCTCCTTAGAGAAAATACTCTCTCTGCCTGGCCTAATAACCAAAATGAACCTCCTCCCCTTTTTTCGTGCAAGCAGAAACTATATAACCCTCTTTTCACCGACCCATTCCCTCAAATTCTAACAACCTGCCACCTCTTCCCACTAAATTCCTTTTAGTATACACTTACCAAATTGTGGGCTCTTTCCATTGCTTGCCCATCATAATAAATCCTTTCCTATATCAGAGTTCAAACTAAGGACTCTATCAGAGAAGCTAATGTAGAATTTATAATTAGCTGACAATTGCAAAAGTATTTTGGATGCAAACTTTAGACCCACATATGGCAATTCACAATAAGCACACCCTTAGTGACTTCATGAAACACGAAAAGTGGATAATAGTAAAAATGGAATGGTCCATTTAACAGGTGTACTCCACACCCATCACCATTGCCATTGAATTCAGAACAGTATACCAGCAGTAAATACTAAAAATCATCAAGAATAAAATCATCACTAGACACTTAAAAATTTGTAATATATAGATAAATGCTTACCTTATGATGAAGGACTTCTTTTCTATGAGGTTTATTTGTCTCCCAAAGGTTTTAAACCAAGGGGAAAGCTGCACTTCTTTCCTCACTACTGCTCTAAACAGAGGGAACAAATCTGCAAATTGAACTGACCCAGTAAAAGTATGGACCTGCAAATGTTTCAAAATTTAGCAAATATAAATACCATTAAATTGACAGATACAGCTGATTACTAACATCACTAATCACATTAATACAAACAGCTTGTTTGTTGAGTAAAAACTGCTATTTTCAAGACCATATAGCACACTAATCATGACACATTTAGTTTAGAAGGGGAAAAAAAGAAGCTGACCTATGCTAATAGACTTGTAAATGTCTTCTCGTAACACTGTCTACAACCTTATTGTGAGAAGTGGGATTTTATGCATATGGACTAGGAAGTACAAACTTGATGCTGAGTAACCTGAAAAAAAAGTTCCGAAGGGGTGAATTAGAAATTACACTAAAAAAATAAGGATCAAGTGTGCAAGAAACCAAAAGAATGATAATGGAGGAATGCAATACAAACCATACAGAATTATCATATCTGGACTTGTAACAGAACTGTTGGCTGAGCCTCGTCTAACAAATCACATTCTGGAGAAAGAAAAAGCATAATGCAATCAACCAAACTTTCTACTCATTTTGTACCTCAAGCGAATTAATTCTTTTCTAGCAATTATCAATAACTCATTCAATCTTTTGGCGCCTCCAAACAAATTTAAAGAAACCAGTTCCCTGGCTTGTAAATCCCTCAAAAGTTTTTCACTTTCAATATGATAATTTCCAACACAGAAAGAATCAATAAGAACTAAATATAAAGAGGTATTAGCCTAGAGATCTCTTTGTTTCATTTCTTCATAAAGTTTAAAAGCAGCTTGAATATCACCATTAGCACAAAGGCCAGATATAAGAACACTATATGCAACAATATCAAGCTTCACATGACAATGTTCCATTATTCTCCTCAATTCTAAAGCTTTTGCAACATTAGCTTCTTTGCAATAAATGTGCATTAAAGTAGTGAAAGTAGCAACAGTTGGAATGATTTGCATCTCAAGCATCAAATCAAGAACCCAAATAGCATGTTCAATCTTCCTTGAATGTGCAAGCCCTCTAACAATAGCACTCATAGCAATATTGTGGGGGCTGACACCAAGCGTTTTCAGTTCATCTTGCAGTTTCAATGCTCCTTTTATGTTTCCCACTCTACACATGCCATTGATTAAAGTGATGTATTGCTTATTTGTAGGAACAGAACCACTTTCCAACAAGGCTTGCAAAACATAGTGGGCTTTATCTAAAGCACCAGTTCTAATGAGACCATTAAAAAGGGCATTGTAGGTATCTACATTAGGAATAACCGCAAACTGATTCATTTGTTTTACCAGATCAAAGGCCTTTTTCATTTCATTCCTTTCACAGAACTTGGTAATAACCATGTTAAATGTAAAACAATCAGTTACAAAACCTGATGGAGGACCATCCTTGGTACTTCATGTGAAACCCATCACATGGTTCATGGCTATGACTAATTTGAGTAGTATAGAATTTTATTACTTTATTCCAAATTTTACCCTTGTATCTTGGGGCATTTT